CCTGTTGCTCTCCCCCAGGCGTCCCCAAGTTAGCCGCTGCTTAAACTGACCAGTGGCTGACTACAGGAAGCTCCTGCCCCGGGCTTCCTGGAATCAGCCGCTGATCAGTTTCAGCAGCAGCTGACTTGGGGATGCCTGGGGTTCTTAAGTTGAATCTGTATGTAAGTCGGAACTGGTGTCCAGATTTAGCCACTGTTGAAACTGATCAGTTTCAGCAGCGGCTGAATCTGGACGCCAGTTCCGACTTACATACGGATTCAACTTAAGAACAAACCTACAGTCCCTATCTTGTACGTAACCTGGGGACTGCCTGTATAACCTCATCTGAGTGCCCAAGAAGTCACATGAGTAAATCTGTATGCAGCAAGAGAAGAGTTTACTCCAGGGTTGTAGGTGTAAAATAATTGACCACTTACATGAAAGGGGAATATACAAATGTTTTGTATGATGGATCAGATTATGTGCTTTTCAGAACTGTCATTAGGCTCTGCCTCTCCATCACTGCACTTGGGCTCCTTGTCTGTCTGTCCTGGCTGGGCCAGCTGAACTGTTCAAAATGAGCATGATGGGACTCCCCTCACCAGATGTTTTTTGTTGTGTATTGCTTATTTGACAGGGAATCTCAAGAAGTGCATGAGATTTAAACATTTCATTTCAGTTGGGCTGTGCCCAGAAGAGATACTGGGCTTTAGTATGAAATCATAAAAGCAGCAAACGGAGACTTTGCTAAGCAGAGTCCATTGTAGTCATGGAGAGATGAATGAGCCAGACACATACATAGGGCCATGAACACCCCTTTCTTTCATTCTCCTTTCATGTTATTAGTTTATTATTTTACATATAAAACCATATATTTGTGATAACTAGAGATGTTTTTCATGTGATATCTTAAGTACTTCAATGAGGATATGCTGCAAAGTGTGCCGGTCTGAATCCGTCCTTGTGTGCTGGCTGCCAAGCCAGCGATCTAATAGCAAAGTGAACCAGATTCTTGACACTCCTTAGATTTACGAGCATTTACTAGGCTACCAAAGCACAACTATTTCACTACAGACTTCTCAATAAGCTATTATTAGCAGAAAAAGGGCTTTTTTGTTTATCTTTGGGATGGGCCTTATAAGGAATCTTAAGTCTAAACTCCTTCGTATTTCACATGGATTTGTATTTGAATGCTCAAGCTTAAATTCTTTCTTATAGTTGGGGTTCTGGGTTAGACTTGAAACCAAAAGAGATCTGTTTCCTACCTTATGTGCATGCCATCTTTTGATGACACTTGTTGAAATCTTGTCAGATTTGGCACCATTATGTCTGAATCCTAACCTTCATTTAGCCTCAACCCTAAAACTCAAATTCTATCCCTTACCAGATCTTGATCCAAAAAAGAAAAACCCTGGGCTAATCTCTGTATTTAGAGTATTAGCTACTTTTTCCACCATAAGAAAAAGTGTATTAATCTTGAAAAAGACAAAGTTGCCTTAGTTTGTTTCAGTTGGTAATTCTAACTACAGCAGCTGAAAATGTACTGCTCATTTATAGCCAAAGTGCTCTGATGACATTTAATCTAAAACTACTGGTGCTGCACTACAAAAATAGATCCGAATTTCTGATTCAGGACACATGTACACTTTTTAAATTAAAGGTATGCTGCAAAGATAACTGGAAATTGAGTTAAGCATGGATGTAGGCACTGAATGACCCCGCAATTCTGGCTGTGGGAGGCGTTCACCTGAAAAATGAACTGGTTTACAATTTACTTCTCCTCTCTGAAGTCTACTGCCCTTTCCCTGTTTACTGGAGACAGAACACATGATTCCCTCACATCTCTGATGCGACTGTTGGTTGGTTAGCCTTGACGTTCTCCTTTTAAAACTGGAAATCACTGGCAGTCATGTTGTCTTCACTAGTTTTTCTGCAGATGAGGAAGAAGTTAGTAGTAGTGTTACACACTGGCTTTAAGATATGGAAAATGCTTGATTTGAATAATGTTTGAGCAACTGGATTAGTAAGCTGTGGAGTGAAATAGTATTTGCCGCCCATTGGTTTAGTATTACCTTACTTTGATGCTGAAGAGGGACATGCCTGCACTGCACTGGACAC